TGTAATGAGCACAGCTTAATGTGAAGTGATACAAATGTCAAAATTGTTAGAAATCCAATGAATTATTAGGTAAGGTCATGACGAGAGAGAAAGATGGAAATGGGTCTGGGACAATGCTGGTATAGTAAGAAAAGTGATCTAATAAAATCCATATAGCATATTTCATTGGTTCATCTTCAAGGCAATTAAATAAGGTATAGGTAGCGAAACATCCCTTTATAATTGTGACAATAAATACTAACCTTTATATATGCCCACCCCTTGGGAAAGTGCCAAATACAAAAGTTAATCCAACTCAATTGTAAAGGGAATTAATACTGGTAATTATTCTAGTGAAATAATTCATATGGTATTTCCTATTTACAATGTCCATTCAGCAATTAACAAATTGGACGAAAATAATTAGACCAAAAATTAAGAGAATTGCTACTCAAAATAAAAATTAATCACCTCATTGCCAATTGACCTTTATCCAAAATATCAAATACTTCTTGATATTCAGCGTGAGAAAAGTTAGTAAATGCTTGAGAAGAGGAGCAGGTCTCGGATAAAGACACAACTTTCTCGGTTAGTTTGCCCTGGTGTAGAGCAATACTTTCTGAAGTGCTGGTGATTAGACGACAGCGCATAGTCCTCTCCAATTTAGAGACACAATTTCGAACATGGGAAACATCCTTCACATTGTTTATAACGGAAGCAGTCAGTCCCAGAACCTAAAATATCAAAGTTTAACAATAAAAAATGAAGAGGTATTACACAAATTAGGCCAACTCATTGATATCGAAATATCAAAATAAGTAAAGGCAAAAAGAAAAATATTGACGCATTTACGTACTATATAAAAATTCGTATACTAGCTGATTCATGTCTGATTTATATATAATTTATAACTGCGCAGAATGTGCTAAGTTGACAATTGCGGACTAAATTATGTCGATATTAAAATTACAATCAATGATAGGTACCTTGGGACCCGCAGAGCCATCCGATCTCCAACAACCTGAGCGGAATTTAGATAAATGCTGACATATGTCCGTGTAATCGGAACATTTATTTGGGTCCACATGGTGGCATTCGTCAAATACAAGCATCTCCAAATGACCCATGGATAACTTGTTATGATTTAACGCATCACGAAGGGCACCAGCGGTAATTACAATTACTCGGGATTTTTCCAACCGAGCTCTCCAAATGTCCTATGTAGAACAATAAATTGAAAATACTAATGATCAGATATATAATGTAGGGGGAAATCATATAAAAATCAATAAGCAGTATATTATTCATTTGATAATAAATAACGGGAATTTGCACTAAAGCGAAAACTATTTTGATTTGGCATTCGTGGATATAAATATTTCTAGGCAAGGATATGCAGATTAATAATCAATAATGTATGTGAATTAAATTATTAATAGGTGCTTACTATGTCCCAAAGATCTATAATGTCTTCTTTTGACATTCTACCATGAAGGCATCCAATTTGATCAGCCTGCAACGGCAGGTGCCTGCGAAGGTAGTCTGTCTGCTGATGTGCTAGCATAACTGCAAAATAGAATAGCAATAAATGGGATATAAACACAATCGATTTAGTTGGGAATTGGTTACCTGTCCTGACGATGAATAGGATCCTTCTTCCACCCTCAGATAAGGGTACATAGGTGATCGGCAAATGAAATTTGATTGCCATTATCGCAATAAAGGTCTTACCAAGGCCAGTACCAAGTTTTACAATCACATTTTCTCGTTCAGCGACACAAGATAATTCTACCTGGTATGGGCGTGCCGAATCAGGCAACATAGTATATAAAATTTCGCGCTCAATTGCGAAAAGTGCGCATGTCACCGTATAATTGGTTAAAGAGCTTAAATATCATTTTCTTACAATATTGCTTTATAAATTTTTCGGGTGTGTGGTAAGAGAGTTATAACTACTGGGCACAGCTTTATCTAATATAATCTGAAAGAAGAATAAACCGACACCATAAGTCGTACGCTGATTATTTACTTATAATTTAAGATTTATTAATATGTTCCGCCATTG